CTCTCTCTCTCTNTATATATATATATATATATATATATATATATATATATATGGGTTATGTTTGGGTTAGGAACGGATTGGGTTAGGTACAAGGCGACCCCAATCAGGACTCAACCCTACTAAGTCATAATTTATACCGGGACCCAACCAAGGTCCTGACTGAGACCGTGATCCGGTCCAAGTCAATTGAACCTGAATCGATCTACACGCCGGGTCAATAAATAAACAAATCAAATTATATATATATATATATATATAGTTAATATTATTTTATGCTAATACATACTAGGTTTGGATCTAAGATGGACCCAAACCCAACTTGGGCAGGATCAAGATGAAGTGGACGGAGACCGGACGTATCGAGTCCATTTTCTGCATCCAAACCCATCGACCAGAGCCATTTCACACCCCTAATTAACCTACACTCAACTTAGCCCCATAAGGTCAAGGATGAACCCAAACCTTTCTTCAGATCCAACCGAAGTTAGGTCCAATATTTAGGTCCGGAACCAACCCCGTGTTGTATCCTCTATATTTAGCGAAAGACATCCATTTAAAAGGAGTGTGATTTGTAAAGAGCCTAGACTCTAAACAATCAAATTAGAGCCTACCTTCAAATAGGGTCGAGAAATGTGGTTTCAATATTGGAAATCTTTGAGATAGCCTTAAAAGTATATTTTCATATTTATTTATAAAGTTTAAAGTTTCAAAAATAATGTAGATAGACATTTCTATAAAAGCTTGAAAATCTTGAAAATTGACGATCCAAAAATGCATTACAAAATACACTGTTTCCAAAACTTGCAATCCATTTTTTTCTCATGTCCATGCATCCTGATGTCAAGATGATTAATTTGAAGATATTTGGGCATCCAAACAACATCTTTTAGAAAACATTTTGAAGTAGGATCAAATTTGATTGTTTAGAGCCTCAGCTCTAGATAAACTTTTCCCATTTAAAAATGCTTATACTGTTTGAAAAGTTTATATAAAGCTGCAACCTTTTATTTATATATATATATATATATGCAGACGATCAAATGGTTTCTTTAGATAAAGGACCTCAACCTCAAAGCAGGTTATAGAGTCGGAGCTATTGCCATGTTCCAGTCTTGTCTCACATCAATCTGTAGCA